GGTAGCCTAATTAATGGTTCACCAGCCTAATTAAAGAAGATCCGGGACAGACATAAAGCCAGTGTAAGATTTCTGCTTTCTCATGGCTGTTGTGGTGCTGGAGCCGATTGATGGGGGTCAGTGTCCTGGAAAATGTGACAAGAGCTGGACAGAGCCTTTGGGAGCAGCTGCTGGAGCGTTTCAATCAGGAGCAGCTTCGGTGCTGGGCTGGGGAATCCTGTCACAGCTCAGTGACACCACGGACACACCAAAACACCCCAAAGCTGCTCTGATGAAACCACGGCACCAAAGCCCTGCTGCAACCCCTGGTGTCTGATAAAGGACGAGCAAAGGAGGGCAGTGACACGTGCAGAGAAATCTGGCTGCTCCACAAGGAAGTTTGGCTGGAGCAGAATGGAGACAGCCATTCCTCCAAGGGCCCCGTCCTCCTGTGCCTGCTCAGATGTGAGCTGGGATTGAGCCACCAGAGCCTTCCCCTGAAGGAATTTTGGGATTTGGGTGCTTTTGAGGGTGGGGATAAGCCAGTGAACAGTGGGAGCAGAACCCTTCTTGTGGCAGCTGCTCCTGGTGAAGAGCTGAAACAATTCCACAATCTCCCTGCTCTGGCACAGAAGGTGCTCCATGCAGGATCCCAGCACAGTCAGAGACAGGGTCTGCTTTACACAAATCAGAAATTCTGTTTTTCCCCCAACCCATAACCAGTTAAAACAGAGATCAGAGAGGGGAGAGTCTCAGACTCCTTTGCTCCAACATTCTTATTTATTTGCTCCGATTTTTCTCTCAAATAGTGCAGAAACCCCAAGGAAATCCTACTGGAATGGCAAAAGTAAGGGCTTTCACAGCTTCACAGGGAATTTTTGGCCTCAAGCCTGGCACTTTGCTGATGGATTTAGATGGATGTCCCTTGGGACCTGTATCTGGATAGAGCCACGCTTTGTACTTCCCTCAAGGGAAGCCTCTGCCTTCCTTGGCTTCCTCTGTTCTCCAGATATTAAAGCACCGATTTCCAAACAGAAAATCCAGGAAGCCAATTCAATGGCTGGGAGATGTTATCAGCTCCTGGTTATAAATGAGCCTTGAATGGAGCAGCAGGCACCTGCCAGCTCCCAGGCCAGCTCCAGCTCTCCGGCATAAGCAGGGAATGAGGGGCCTCTGCTGGACTCTCAGCACAGCCGGGAGGAAAAACAAGAATTCCCGAATTTTTCAAAGCGAGCCCTGGTTATGGACAACCTTTGTCCCTCAGCTGGATTTGCCTTTGGAGATGAGCAACTCTGGCTGCCACCACAGCCTGGAGGGCACAATTTGGGTGGATTTCTCCCTATTTTATCTCTGTGGAGGAGGAAAATTGCACCAAAGGTTATTTTGATTCATTTTGCGAAGTTTTCCTGCATGAAGCTGCTTCCAGCAACAAGATGAGAGGAAATGGCCTCAGGATTTGCCAGGGGTGGTTTAGATTGGATATTGGGGACATTTTTTCCTGGAAAGGGTCAGGTACAGACTGGTACAGACTGCCCTGGGCAGTGTTGGAGTCTTTACACCTGTAACTGTGTAAAAACCATGTAGATGTGGCACCTGGGGACATGGCTGGCAGTGAATGCAGTGCTGCTTTGATGATCTTAAAGGCCTGCTTAATGATTCCATGATTTTCTGGGTTTTTCACCACACAGCAGTGAAAGAAAATAATTTTTCCTGGGCATGCTGGCATGTCCCAGGGCACTCTGAGCCCTGGCTCTGCTGAATTTCTCTGACACCCCTGTGTTCCCAGGTGTCACTGCTGTGAGTTTCTGTTCCCTGGCAGTGCTCCCCATTCCCACTGAGGTGAATCCACCAGCATCACTTGACTCTCCATCCCTGGCAGTGCCCAAGGCCAGGCTGGACAGGGCTTGGAGCAATCTGGGATAGTGGAAGGTGTCCCTGCCATGGCAGGGGGAGGGATGGGATGGTTTTTAAGATCTCTTCCAACAAAACCATTCCATGATTCTATAAAACACTCGCCATCAGCAGCCCCACAGCTCTCTCTGTGTGCAGGGCTTATCTTTATCCTCCCCTTTCCATACAGACAGAGGCAGAACTCTCCAACACCAGCAATTCCAACCATTGCAATGTTTTTTTGGTTGATTTAGTTCCTGTGCTGTCAGCATGTCCTCCTGCTTAATCTGTGGCATTAATTCCTTCCTTGCTACTGGCTTCAGAAAGCATTAACAAGGGAAAAATAAATCAAGTGTTAGAGCACAAAGAAGACTTGTGGGAAAAAGCTTTTGAGCCTTTTCTGAGGCTCTCATGCCTGTTATTCTTTACTTTGCTGATACAGCTGGATTTACCATCCTGTTGAATGAGCATATTCCAGACTATAAAAAAATAACAAAGTCGAACCACGTGGGCTTTGTATAGGTCAGGGCTGGAGAGGGGCTGCCAGAGACAACAGCACAGGACGACTTCAGAGCACGAAATGTGCAAACACAGCCAAAGTGCAGCTCATGTTCCTCCAAACAAAGCAGGGACCAAACCTGAGACACCACAGAAAACAAGCGTGGGACAGCTGGGCGTGGGAGCTCCGTGTGTGTGTGTGCCCCAGCCCGCAGCCACAGCTGTCTGCCAGCTGTGTGCAGATGTTGGTGAGACTGTGGGAACGTGGAGTGGCCTGTCCCATCCTGGGTGATGGGAAGCTTGTGGAAAGAGCTCACCTAAGTCAGTGCTGGAGTTTTAAATTGATGTTTTAGGGCAGGCTGGTGCTCTCAGGTATTCAGTCTCGTCTTTACCCTCGTCCTTCTGAGGAAGACTCATCCCTGAAGTCACCATTGTGGACACAGCAATCCTCAATAGTGGAGCAGGGCTGAATTCCCAGAGGAATTCCTGCCCTGTTTCACGCTCCTGTTGTGCTCTGCATTTTCAAAGCAGAGCTTTGGTTGTCCCCCCATCCTCCTTTCTCACATCCCCCGTGAGAAGCTGGACTGGGGAGTTCAAGAGATCAGAGAACTCACACCAGGCAATGTCCTGCCCCACGTGGGAGCCAGCTCCAAATGACCCCACATCCCAAACTGCACCAGAAACATGGAAAATAAAGGGGTGAGAAAGCAATCTGAGCTCAGAGAATCTCTGAACTTATGGAAATAACCACGAATGATGAAGCACCAAAAGGGGGTGAGTGGAGCTGGGTGTGCGGGAGGTGAAAAACTTCTCACTTCCCTCAGCAGGTGAAGCCTTTAAGGGTTAATTTCCTAAACATGCAGCTTTTTCATTTCAAAGCCTCCCTAAAAAGTGCTGTGAGATCTGGACCCAGAGGAATTGTTGACCTGTAGACACCAGGAGGGGACGTGTTTTCACACACTGATGTCTCTTTGAGGTTGAAGCCCCAGGAGCAGCAGGGAAGCTTCCGAGCCCGTTTGCAGCGCCAGGGAACTCGGCAGAGCTCCCACATCTGGGAATTGCAATTGTCCCATCCCCGGTGCCTCTGGGGTTTCTGTTCCCCTTCCTGCACATAAACACCGAGCTGGAAACACAATGTTTTCAGAACAAACAGAAAAACAAAGTGCTGCTCATGGTGAGCATTGTCTGCAAGCTCAAAATAACTTTCCCAGCTCTTCCCTCTGTGCTCCGGGGCTGTTTTTCCCTGATCCCAGGTTCAAGTGTAGGTGGATGTTCCCAGCAAAGGATCCATCCTGCAATTCCATGGCACGTGGTGGATGTTTGGGATAAATCAGTGGGTGTTGAACTGTGCCTTAGTGGAGATCCTCGCTGGATTAGGGTGGTGATAACCCCTCTGCTTCCAGGAAATTAGGGGGTTTGTGAGAATTTAGTGAAAAATATAATGATTTTATTCCTTCTCCTCCACAAGGAACGATCATGGTGGCAATTTTGATACACAGTGGGTTGAACTTGCAGCTGAAAGATGCATTTCAACCCCTATTTGCACCCTTAGGTGTTCAAAGTGGGTGTTTTCCCAGGAATTTTTCCCTGGGCTCAGCATTTCTGTGTGAAATACCACATAAATGATCATTATTCCTTCTCCACCACTGAGGGAAAAAGCAGCTGCCTGGCATTGCCTGACCGTGCCTGTACTTCTTTTGGCTCTCCAACAACTCAGGAATTGGAGAGTGGCCTGGATAAACCCCATTCCCAAAGGTCTGCAGCTGGAAATGAAAACACTTGCACAGTGCCCCAATCCCTGGGGAATTCTGCTCGCAGTTTAATTTTATTTTATTTCTGCACAGGGCCTCCCCCAGGCCTGGCTCATGTCTCAGGTGATGAAATTACAGAATCCTGGGATTGCTGAGGTTGGAAAAGAGCTCCAGGATCACCGAATCCAACCTGTGACTGATCCCCACTTTGTCCCCAGCCCAGAGCACTGAGTGCCATGTCCAGGAATTCCCTGGACACCCCCAGGGATGCAGACCCCAAACCTCCCTGAGCAGCCCTGCTAATGTTGAGCCACCCTTCCTGTGAAGAAATTCCTCCTAATCACAGAATTATGGAACATTTAGGGTTTGAAGGGACCTCTGGAGATCATCCACCCCAAGGCAGGGCCACCTGGAGCAGGAATGTGTCCAGGTGGGCTTGGAATGGCTCCGAAGATGGAAACTCCATAACCTCCCTGGGCAGCTGTGCCAGTGCTCTGCCACCTTCACGGCGAGGTGGTTTAGTTTATGGCCATTGTCCTGTCCGTGAGCACCACTGAACAGAGCCTGAACCTCCCCTCGAGGCACGTCCTCGCCTCCCCTCCCCTGAGGGGGGGCCATTTTGTGTGAGGGGAGGGGGCCATTTTGTGGGCTCCACGCTCTCCTCAGGGCGAGCATCAATCCCGCCGTGTCCAAGCCGTGCCAGGGCTGTGCCAGCGGGTGTGCGGGGCTGCATGAACCCCTCTCCCCGGTCCTGCGGGGCTCCTGAAGCCGGCTCGCAGCGGCCGCAGCCCCGCGGAGCTCCCGCAGCGCTCCCTGAGCGCCATCAGTCCTCCGGGCCGGCAGGGGGCGCTGCCGCGCGGCACCGGGAGCGGCCCCATCCCGGGGCCTTCCGGGGTATCCCGGCCCGGCGTGATCCCGGTGCGATCCCGGGCTGTCCCGGCGTGATCCCGGTGCGATCCCGGGCTATCCCGGCGTGATCCCGCTGCAATCCCGGCGTATCCCGGTGTGATCTCGGCCCGTCGCTCTGTGATCCCGACGTGATCCCGGGATATCGCGGCCCGGCCCGTTGTGATGCCGTTGTGATCCCTGGGGATCCCGGCCCCGTCCCGCTGTGATCCCGCTGGAATCCCGGCGTGTCCCGGCCCCGCCGCCATGGGGAAGAAGGGGAAGCGCGACAAGAAGGGGAAAGGCGCCGAGAAGACGCTGGCGAAGATGGAGAAGAAGGTGTCCCGCCGAGCCAAGAAGGAGGAGGTGACGGGCGCCAGGGAGGGCTCTGGGGCTGGGGGAGGCTGAGGACAGCGCTGGGAGCGAAGGAGCGAATCCACAGGGAGCCTGGGCTGCCCAGGGAAAGCGAAGGATGTAATGGTTGGAAGGGACCCACGTGGATCATCCCGGCCCTGCGGAGATAATCCCAGTGTACCTGAGAGTTTGTCCAAAGCTCCTTGAAGTTGGACTTCAGGGATGCCCCTGGATCCCTGAGGGTGTTCCAGGCCAGGCTGGACAGGGCTGGGATTGCGGAAGGTGTCCCTGCCCATGGGTGGGATTTAAGGTCCCTCATTCTCTGATTCCCAGCAGAATCTTGCTTAAATCCCCTCCGATCCCTTGTGTGTGACAGCAGGTGTAAAAGGAGAGGAAAACACAGTTTTCTTCTTGCTTTCCATCCCCTTCATCCTTTTCTTCTGGTCCTAAAAGGAGATGAGAACCTTTGTTTCTCCTAGAGGAGCTGCTTGTGTTTAAGGCTCAAAGCAGTGACTTTTCCCTGGTAAAAAGTGCTGTTCATGGCCTCATTCAAAGCTCCAAGGCTTGGAAGGTGCCCCTGTGGAGCCTCCTGGCTGCAGGGAGAGCTGATTCCATGCTGTAAATTCCCAGGCTTTGGAGATCTCTGCTTGGAGCACAGCTCCAGCAAAGTGACCTGAAGTGGGGTGGTGGGAGAGACCCTGGCTCAGAACCCCCATTGCTGCAGTCCTGCTGCTGCCCTTGGCCTGTCAGCAGTTTTTGGGGGGCAGATTTTGGTTTTAATCGAGTGAAGTTGAAAGGGAATAAAGATGCACGAGGTTTCTCTGGATATAAAAGAGTTTCCAGTTACATTTGGGCAGTTTTTTTCTTTTTAAAAAAGGGGAACTCTGGGAGTGAGTGCTGGTTTCATGTGTGCCTCTGTGCATGTCAAGCTGCTCATGTCTGGCTTTTTCTTTCCAGGAGGATCTTGAAGCCCTGATAGCAGAATTCCAGAGTTTGGATGCTAAAAAGACCCAAGTAATTGAGTCCTCCTGCCCACCCCCCTCACCCAGGTGAGAGCTTGTGTGAGGCTTTGGCTGCCACTTGCAGAGCAGCTGGGAGTGCTTTTAATGTAATTTCTTTATGTTATTTCCCAAGAGTGGAAGATACAGATGATATCTGGAGTTATGGAACACCTGGAATACTGAATTCATGGTTAAAAAGAGACCAAAAGCCTGGTTTTGGGCATCAAAATAAATTTTTTAACCGTCACATCAGCACAAAAGAGGCAAAGCGGGATCAGATTTCAGGAAAAATGAATTCCCTCAGCTTTGAGGGGAAAATGAAAGTGGAGAGGAAGTTTTGGGTTTGGACTAGAGGGCTGAAGGGAATTCAGAGGCAAAAGGACGTGTCATGATGTGAAAACCACTTTGTTAAGTGGGGTTCACAGACTTGGGGTGTTCAGGAGAGCAGTGACCAGCAGCAAGTGCAGAATAATGACAGAGATAAATGGACAGGAGACAGCCCAGAGTTCTGTGCCCTCATAAAAGTCATTTTTGTTCCTGCCACCCCAGCATTAAAATTCAGGAGCTCACGTCAAAGGGGGAGTTAAATCACAGAGTAACGTGTGCTCCTGAAATAGGAGAGCCTCTCAGACAGTGCCCCATTCATCTTGCTGGAAGTTTTGGAAGAAATTAATTTCTTTGGAGAAGTTTTTAGCCCTGGGGTGAACATCACAGCAGAGTCATTTGGCAGATGATGGAGAGACCTTTGGGGCTGGAGGGCAGAGGTGCTGCTGCCTGAGTTAAAGGCTCCAAGATGCAGGGTTTTAAGGACCTTCACATCTTTTTTTATTTTTTCCATCTTCTTTTCTTTCAGGCTGAACTGCTCCCTCTGTGCTCACCCCGAGAGAGACGAGCTGATCCTTTTTGGAGGTGAATATTTCAATGGCCAAAAAGTAATGTATACTTCATTTTCTTCTTCTTTATCTACCCCCTCCCTCTTTTTCCTGTAATTTGCACGGGTCTCATTTGAAGGGAAATTCAAGGCAGAGTCATAAAATATGCATTTGTCCCTGAATGAGAGCAAAATAGCCTTTTAATTCTGCCGTGGCTCTGTCTCATGGCTGAGCAGTTGGCAGGAAGGAGACACGCTGGAACCCATTAAGGAGTCAGAGTGATTGTCTCAGCATCAATATTTCAGGGCTTCATAATTTCTCCAGACTTAATTGTAGCCATATCTGCCCCTCATTTGGGATAACTAGTGAAGAATCTCTTGCCCTTCTCAAAACAAGGTATTTTTGCACCTTTGCTGCTGGCTGCCTTGGAGATGGGAGCAGCAGCAAATTATTGCACTCAGGAACACTCTTTTTGCTGAATTTCTGCAGGTTGCAAGTGGTTATTTTGCTCCTGGAGACAAACTGCTCTGGAAAACTCCAGCCTGGCAGTGATATTTGGCCACCTCACAGTTACCCAGAGTGATGAGCTGAGCTAATTCTGCTTTTTTACCACCTGGAGCTGTTCTTTGCTCTGGAGCTGAGCAGCTTTAACCTGAACATCTGCATTAAGCTCCAGCTTTTTAAGTCCTCCTATCTCAAGCTGTCAGCAAGGGTTTGGGAGGAACATTCCAGCCCAGTGGAAGAGCTGCTGCCTCCCAGTGCAGAGCAGGAGCTGTTGTCCTCCTTCCCTGCCCTCTGAGGAGGTTGTGTTTGCAATCTTCACCCCAAATCCCCCCGTGCAGAGCTGAGCTGGGCTGAGCTGCTGTTTCCTGTCCCTGTCTCACAGACCTACCTGTACAATGAGCTGTACATTTACCACATAAGGAAGAACAGCTGGGTCAAGCTGGACATCCCCAACCCACCCCCAAGGCGTTGTGCTCACCAGGTAATGCCAGAGCAGCAGCAGGGATTGTTCTGAACGTGGTTTTGGGAGGAGGGTTTGAATTTTTGCACCTCCTGAGGGTTTCTTGCCTCTCTGTTTTCCTCATAATGGGCTGCCAGTGGTGTCACTTCAGCTTTTCTGTCCAGGGTGCTCTGGTCACTGGGTGTCCTCTGGCAGTGTTCAGTGTGGAATGAAGATTTGGGGTTGTGTCTGTTGATTTGGCAGAACTCAAGCAGAGCCAGAGGGGAGATTCTTCTTCAGAAATTAATTCTTGGCTGTATTGTACAAGGACCAGCTCAAATCCATAATCCCAGGGGCCCTGAATTTCCAAACTGGAATTTGACCAAGATCCATTGTTCCCTTGATGGCCACAGCCCTCATCCATGAACATCCCAGACACTGCCACTGCTGCCAGCAGGGAGCACTTGGGCTCTTCTCCACCTCTCTGCAAATCCAGGTCACTGGCTGCTTGTGAGGATGAGGAATTTGGGTTTGTTTACTTTATGTGAACACCTGCACAGCAGAACCTGGACCAAAGACTTGTATTTTTTGCAGGTCTTTGGCCCTCACCAGCTGATAGATTTTCTTACCTGCTGCAGCCAGTGGGTGACTGGTGCCTTCCCAAAGCTGCCATACAGGATGTGAATGTCCTTTTCCCACCCATCCCAAAGCTCCCTGGTAAGATCCAACCCCCCAGTTAGGTTCATCTCCTTTGTTATGTTACCGAGTGCCAGTGTTGCTCTGAGCTGTGTATCCTTGAACTGAAAGGTTCTGCCTTGATTTTTGGGCTGCTTTGTGCTGTTTAAAGTAGAGCTTGGTTTCAGAGGCCACATTCCAGCAGCCAGCAGGTGGCTGTCGAGCAGCTCAATCCAAAGGAGCAGCTCAGGAGCTGCAGCTGGATTACAACAATAAACTGAGGAGTCCTGCTTCAGCAGTGTCTCTGTCTGATAATTAATTATGGTTTCACAGGATTCAGCCTCATGAGCTGACTGGTTTGTCCTCCTTGTGGCTTTGTATTTAATGCATAGCTCAGAGCGAAACAGAAGAGTGTCTGTGGGTGCCAGGTGCATGTTTTTAGTTTTATTTGTCATCCCTGGTCTCTGACACTGTTGGAGTTGAGGTGAGAGGAGCTATGGGCAGGTTTTGGCAGTTGTTCAAGGAAAAAGGTTTGGGTTTGTCATGAATTTCAAGCCAGCTCTTGGAAAGGTCACCCACAAGTATGAGCAGGCTGTTGCATAAACCTTCCCTTTAAGCTTTTAAGCACTGGATGCCCATGGAATTCAGGCACTCATCCCCTTTGTTAGGTAACTTCATGTTCCCACAAATCCTGCCTGAAAGCACACCCTGGATTTTCTTAATTAATCATTTCATGTTTGGGCTGGTTTATGGCAGGGCATGGTCCTGTGTGGGGCTAAAAGTATTTTTTTTTGCTGGGAGAGACAGGCAGGGGATGAAGCCTTTTGAGGAAGGAGATCATTATCCCAGTGTTGAGTTGTGATGGGTTCCCTGGAGAAAACACAAATTGAAATTTTTACAGCCACAGCATTTCCTCCTTGGGATTCCTTCCTTCTTCTTTGGTCCTAACACAGATAACTTTAGTGAAGTGGAGTCTTGCTCTTCTCCCTGCTTTTAACTGGCACACCTTGCATGCCAGAGGTGTTTGGTGCTGCTCTGTGCAAAAAAAAACCCACAAAAAAACCCTCTCAGCTATGACACAATCAAAGCAGTAACAGTCTCTCCTTTTGTCCAAATGCTGCACGTTTCCTTCTGTATTTGGGTTTTTTTTTGTTGTTTTCTTTCTTTTGTTCGGTTTTGAACAGAGAGAGTTGAACAGTTTTTGTTACATTAATCCCAAGATGTTTCCTAGGAAACTCTGAACTTCCCACAGGAGGTGGGAAGAGCCCAGCTCCTAGGCCAGCTTTGCCTTGCTCTAGAGAAGATGTGCTAAACACTTTTAATCCAAATTCTCCTTCCTTCAGCCCCAGAGAGCTGCTGCTGCTGTTCCCTGGGGTTTGGAGCTGTGTGTTTGACACGGGGGAGGTTCTGTGCCTGGTTTGGAGCCCTCTCTGACCCAGCTGTCCCTTGTCCTGCAGGCAGCTGTGGTGCCCACGGCTGGGGGGCAGCTCTGGATCTTCGGGGGCGAGTTTGCCTCTCCCAACGGGGAGCAGTTCTACCACTACAAAGATCTCTGGGTCCTGCATTTGGCCACCAAGACCTGGGAGCAGATCAAGTAAGTGCTGGGCCCTCGTGGCTGGACCATTCTTTTGCCAAGAAATTTGGATTTCTGATCCTTGAGATCCTGGTGTTCAGTACCTCCTTGGTGTTGGCCTCATGAGGAGCTGTGCCACTGTGATCCAAGTTTGATTCCTGGTTCAGTGCTGTGATTTCCCTGCTCTCCATTAAATACAGAGATTCCCATGCTCAAAAGGGTGGAGAAGACACCCCCAGCAAGAAGGGGGAATGAGAGATGTGTTCCAAGCCTGTTGAGACCAAAGCTGGTTTATTTCATACATGATTTTTGGGGTGTGGGTTTGCCTTGGGGTACTTAACTGAGGGGAAGAGTATCACAAGAGCTCCCTGTTCCCAACTCTGGCAGGCTCAGATGTCCAAAACTGGTGCTCTGTCCTCCTGGGCTCCTCCAGTGGGGGCTGTACAAGGCCAGTGCAAGGATCTCCCAATTTTAACACCACTGGAGAAGCCAGTTTGTATCCAGCCAGCTTCACTCCTGGCATTTGCTGCCTTGAGATTCCTCAGGATAAACAAGCCAGTAATTCAGGCCTGTCAAAGGAAACAGGTGCCAAAAGTTTTTGACAGGAGTGAAAGTGTAAATATTTTCAGTGGATCTGGCCCAAAGTCCTCTGTTGATGTTTCTTTAACCCTTAACTCCTTGCTTTGGCTGTTCCTGTTTGTATTTGCATGAGAAAGGAGTTATATATATATATATATATAAAGTGATATCCAGTGACTGAGAGGCAGGAGTTTGGCATTGGCTTCCTCTTGGACTTTGGGATTGTCTTGTACCAGGACACAGCTTGGGGTGGGCTGGAGCTCCAGATCACCCTCGAAGTGCAGCAGAAAAGCAGCAGCTTTTGATCACTTAGGAGCTCCTTCAGGTGGGAACACCAAATCTGTCCAGATTGATCCCATTTCAACCCCTGTTTTCACCTTTATGTGTTCAAAGTAGGTGTTTTCCCAGGATTTTTTCCCTGGGCTCAGCATTAGAGGGTGTGGGGTCTGTTTGCTGTGCCTCCTCTCCTTGCACAGTGGCTGAGGCTGTTTGGGATGAGCTGTGCAGGGATGGAGCCAGGGACTCCATCCTGAGGTCACACAGTGCCTCACTGTGCCTGTCTCACCTTTTTCCCTCTCCCTGCAAGGTGGGAGCATTGATAGTGCCTGACAAGTGGGAATTTGGAGTCTACTCCATTTGAGCTTCCTGCCTTGTTTGGGTGGCCCTCTGTCCTTCAGCCCTGCTGGAATTTTGGGAACACCCATGCCCTGGTCCCAGTGTTGGAATCAGACAAAGCACATCCCCTCCCCATCCTTGGGCTGCTCCTGGAGCTGCATTAACAAGGCAGAGGGAGGGAATGGCTTTGTTTTAATGCTGGCCTGGTTGAGCACAAAAATGCAGGTTCTGCTGCCTCTTTGCTTTTCCATAGAGCATCTTGGTCAGGAGGCTGCTTGGAAAGGGGAACAGGAAAGGGCAGAGGTGGTTGGTGAGTTCTACAGGGGATTTTATCCTGCTTCTTTTCAAACTCTGATCATGACACCTGCTGCACTTCACTTCTTCAGCATTTGCCATTTGTTGGGGTCATGGTGAGGAGCCATCCCTGGTGCCAGGAGTCTTCACACACACCAAGGAATAATTCCATGTGTCCAGTGTGCTGCCAGTGTTACCTGAATAAATGCCAGGTGACACACATGGGGTACAGAGTACTGTGGGGTTTAGAAAATGTCATTTTAGTGCAAATAATAAAGTAATAAAATTAATTATTCATGAAGAAATGTCTGGACAAGAGAGGCAAAGTTTCTGTTTCTGTTCCCTTGGGAAGGATCACGAGTGCCCCATTCCAGGTGGGTTTGATGTGTTGGTTTGTCCAAGATGACCCTGCTGTGATATAAACATGAAATTCTAGAAAATCTGGTTATTCCAGCCCCCCAGTTCAGATTCCAGACACTGAGGTTGTCCTTCCTGGCACTACAATTCCTGCCACAACCCATCTGGTGCCATGAGGGGCTTGATTCTGAAACACTTGGGAAGAGGAAACCTTGACTAACTCTGAAAACTTCCCTGTGCTGGGGAAAGGCAGCTCCATTTTCTCCCAGCACAGAGCACAGTGGTGCCAGGCTGCCTGACAGAGTTAAAAGTTGCTAAATTTAGCAGGATTTAGCTGTGTTTCCTTGCATTTTGCATGCACAAAGATGATCCAAACACAGCAAATCCCAGCCCGTTAGAAGCCGTGCCAGCAGCTGACTTTGACTTAGTGCAGCCACCTTATCTCGTGTGTGATGCTTGAGGTTTCCTCAGTCCATGAACTGTTTGTTACCCTGCCTTGGAGCAGCAATATTTTAACCTAATTGCCTCATTCCTTCCTAGAGAGAACATTCCCAGTCAGCTCTCTGAGTCCCAGTGCCCTCCCTCAGGGAGAGACAAGGAGCATCCTTGGGGCTTGTGCTTGGGAATTGTCACATTCTTATCCTCTGCAGCTCCCTTCACTGAGATTCTGGAGTGCTGCTGATGCTTCCTGTAGGATTTGGTGTAAATTTCCCAGTTTCACCAGTGGCTGTTGAACTGGAGCAGGCCCAGCACAGGGTTGGGTCTGATGGATGCCTCTCCTTGCTCACAGAAAAATGAGTTCCTGCCACAGCAGGTGGGAGATGCTTAAAGAAAAGGGTGTTTTGGTGTAAATCAAGCAGATAGTCAGGCCACAAATGAGTTTGTTCTTTGGTAGATCAGGATCCAGTGTACAACTGTGGATTGACTTTGCAAGGGGTTGGAATTGGGGATTTTGGGTCCTGTGCCAGTTGTGTTTTCCCTTCTCTACTTCCACCTGAGTGTCCACACAGAAAGGGACAGGATCTCTGTGTGTGTCACTGGTGTAAAACAACACAAATCCTGAGTTCAGCTTCCTCTGCAGGATAAAAGTGCTCTGTCCTCAAGTGCCCCTGTGAGGGAATGTTCTCTTCATCCCCACTTCTATTATTACTGAGCATTCCCTTATTATTACTGAGCATCCTGTGGATGAAGAGGCAACTCCTGCAGCCTGTAGCCACTGGAAAAAGTAATTTATGAATCTGGGGGCTGAATTCAGCTTTGGTTTGTTACTACTAGTCCCAGGGTAACTCCACAGGCAAAAGAAAATTCCTTTTGGAGCAGCTCAGATCAGCCTCATGCTGTACATGTGTAGAGCCAGTCCTTAGCCAGAGTTTTTAGTCTATTTTTAAAAAAAGTCTGGAGAATTTACAGCTCCCTCCTACATGTCTGCCTTCTGGTGTCAACCCCATGAAACAGAGCATTAATCACAAAGTCTGGGAAGCCATTTCCAAAATGTTTCTTTGGGACCAGGAGCACTGAAACAGGTAAAAGGGAAGAGTTTGTGCTTGGGAAACAAGTTGCAGGAGGATCCTCCTGGAGTGGGAATGAGGTTCTGCATCACTGCCAGTCCTGCCTGACTGTGCCATTTGTGCCTTGGAGTTACATCTACATTGGTGGGAGCTTTATTAAAACACATCAATGAATAAACTTCTATTGATTTTGAGCTCAGAGGAAACCTGTTTGAGAAACAAGGCACAAGATACTCTCTGAGAACAGGATTTTAATGCTCATGTTGGGTTTAATTCATCCTCCCCTTAAAAAAAATAAAAAGATGATTTAAAAAGTGCCATCTTTTGGAGTAATGACACAGGAGCTTTGTTACAGCAAGAGAAAATAATGATTTCAGGTCTTGATGAAATTAATACCAGAGGTGCTGTTCTGCAGGGTGATACTTAAAGATCCAGTAAATGCTTGGAAAAACCTCCTCTCTGTTAGAATAAAGAGTCAAAGCAATCAATATTAATTCAGTCTTCCCCAAACGCTGCTGTTCTGGTGGAGTTTCTCATTATCACTGGGGTGAGGTTGTCATTTTCCATGGTGAATAAGGGCCCTCATTTTCTCTCTCCACAGAAATCCATCACCACATTCCCAGCTCCCTGCTGCCACTCCAAGTGTGGCTGGGGGGTTGTGGCTTTAGGTTTTGCTGCTGTTTTCATCTCTATTTGTTTAGGCCCTGATTGTGCAGTCACTTCACACCTTAGGGCTGCCTGTTGGAGGAGTCTTGCTGGGCTCAGTGGTGCCAGCTGGGAGCTTTGGGAGACTCCTCAGTGAGGGAAAACAGGATGGATCATCCCTGGGGGCAGAGAACACACAGCAAACCCTCTCTGGCCTAGAGCTGGCTGTGTTGGGAAGTTGTTGGGGTTGTTTTTGTTGTCTCTTGTGTGATGGTGGAGGTGAAGGAGGAGGAAGGAGGGTGGATCCATGTTGGAATGGTGTCCATCTGCCCAGCTCCTCAGGAGCCTTGTGGATGGGACAGATAGAGGGGGTGTTGCTTGTTCCTGGAAATGGAAGCTGCACATTTAACTGAAAGGTCAGGAAGGCTTGGAAGAGCAGAACAGGAATGTGTGGCTGCTTTTGAGTGTGTAGGATCATGGAGTGAGTCACAGAGTCATGGAATGGTTTGGGTTGGAAGGGGCCTTAAATCCCATCCCATTCCTCCTCCTCCATGAGCAGGGACACCTTCCACCATCCCAGGCTGCTCCAAGCCCTGTCCAGCCTGGCTTGGGCACTTCAGGGATCCAGGGACAGCCACAGCTGCTCTGGGCACCAGGAAGAATTCCTTCCCAAGATCCCATCTATCCCTGCCTCCTTCAGTGGGATAATGCTGATAATGATGACTTGTTTTGCTGCAGTGCCTTTGTTCTTGAGGAAATCTGGGTAATTCATGAAGTGTTTTCACTGGTTTGGAGTCATACCCAAACTGCAGGTGGATGAGTGAAGGTGGTGTTGATTTCCTGAGACTCTGAGGGAGGGGGATGTCAGAGCCAGGCTTTGTCTCTTGGTGCTTGGAGAAAACATCTCAGTTTGGAGTGTCTTCCCTGCAATTGTGAAGTGCTGTTCATTAAACTCTCCTGAAGAATCAGCTCCTGAGTCATCACTGGAAAGACTCTGGGTGCTCTTAGGGTGGTTTATCTCTAGGAATAGAACTGCCTGTGTTGCAGTCCCAAGAGCTCCTGGAAGAGCACCCATCCTGTCCTGGGGAAGAGAAGCCATGGATTGAGTCCTCCACATTCCCATTTCCAGGAGAGGCTGAGCTCAGCTGCCAGTGGCTGCAGTAAAAATGGCCTGAGGCACTACCAGGGCAGGGGATTTTGATAAATGGAATTTCTCTTCCCACTGGTGCCCATTTCCAGGAGAGGCTGAGCTCAGCCAGCTCAGCTGCCAGTGGCTGCAGTAAAAATGGCCTGAGGCACTACCAGGGCAGGGGATTTTGATAAATGGAATTTCTTTGTGTTTCAGGGCACCAGGAGGGCCCTCTGGACGCAGTGGACATCGGATGGTTGTGTGCAAAAGGCAGCTGATCATCTTTGGAGGTTTCCATGAGAGTGCAAGGTGGGTTGCTGGCATGCCTGGGAGTTTGAATCCTCCTTAAAAAGGCAACAAAATTTCACCAGTAACAGAAATCTGGGTGTGAATGGGAGAGCTGTCCTCAGCAGGACTGGGACTGAACTGGATTTTTGTGTTAGAAAGACAAGGGATCTTGATTTAAAGTCTTCAGGTGTGGGAGAAATCATTGTAGCACTGAAGCAGCTGCCCATCCTTGTAGCCAAAGCTCAGTCCAGCACTTTGGTTCTCTCAATCTTGTCAGATCCTTGTCTTGTAGAAATGGGGGCTGTGAGCAGAGCTCTGAAATGCTGTTTTGTCCTGTCCTGAGTGTCCCCATCACAAAGTGTGCTGTGCCCATGTGCTCTCTGCAGAGATTTCATCTACTACAATGATGTGTACACCTTCAACCTGGACTCCTTCACCTGGAGCAAGCTGGCTCCTGCAGGGATGGGGCCTGCTCCAAGGTCTGGCTGTCAAATGACTCCCACCCCTGAGGGCAACATCATCATCTATGGGGGCTACTCCAAGCAGGTAGGGGACACTCTGTGCTGTCAGGTGTCCACAGGCTGGGAACCAAAACAGGCATCTTCTCATTTTGCCTTTTTTTCATGCAGTTCTGCTGATTGAGGGGCTGATCTTGGTTCAGATGATTTCTCTATTTTCCCTGCTGTTCTTATCCAACAGAAGGAATTGATGTCACTGAGGGAGGAATAAGCAACTGGGAGAAATGACATTTTTTTGGCAACTTAAAGCATTCTCAGGTATTGCTTTGTGCTTCAGCACTTGCAGGTTAAAAGCAGCAGTTGCCAGGAGACTTTTATTTTGTGCCATCAGTGGCAGAGGTGAGAGAGCAAACTCAGTAAGCCAAAACAGACTTTTGACAAGCACCAGGCTCCCCCAGCTCTGCTCCTTGCTCTGTTAATCCTGGGGTTTTATACCAGAGAGCACATTCCTCACTGAGCAGGTACCCCTGTGTCCATGCTGGGCTGCAGGAAGGAAGTGTTTCATTGAGCAGAAGCTTTTCATGTTGGGAATGCAGGCAGAGGCCCTGGATCCTGCTGCTCCCGTGGAAGGCAGCAGGGGAGGAGAAGCCTTGTTCTTCTGAGGGGAATGCATCAACAAAGGAGGGAAGCAGGGAGAGGGGAGAGAAGGGAGTTGGTCTCTCTGTATATTTAGAAGCATTTGTGCCTCCTCAGGGCCTGAGCTTCGGGCTCTGCCTCATCAGCTGTGCCTTGGATTCAGCAGCAGTAACAACCCAGAGCCTTCTCCACTGAGGGGCTTTGTCCTCTTCCCTTCCCTGTGCTGTCCTCACTCCTGAGGGTGGGCAGGGAGCAGGAGCCTGCATGCTCTGCTAGGTGTGGAGCTGGGCTCCAGGTGCCCCATGGCAATAGAAAAGTCACACATGTTTGCAGTTGGGTCTGTCCCACTGCTGCTCTGGGTTGGTGTGAGCTGGTGAAAATGGAGGAGAAGGGACGGGGGAATGCAAAGCTGCCCTCAGCCTTTGGCAGGGCACTGGGAAGGATGGGAGCTGGAGGAAGTTCTCTGCAGCTTGGAAAACAGCTTTTCCATCAGAACAGGCACTCCATTGAAGCAAAACAGACATTCCATTAAAACAAGACATTATTCAAAGACTAAAAATCTCCTGCCTTTGTCATGTGGAGAGCTCTGTGTGCTTCTCTCTGATGGGCCATTCCTGCCAGGCTCTGCTTTTGTAGCACAAACTGACCAAAGCTCTGAACAGAATTTTCTCTGCAGCCTTCAGCGTGCTCCTGGAAATTAAATTCAGCAGGATATGGCCCCTCTAGGAGAGACCCACTTCTGTTAATGTGTGGCTATTTAATTCTCATTGTGTCTTCACTTAGAGCTGATTGTGGAGCTGAGTGTCTGGGTTTGCTTTGAAGTGAAGAAAATGTGTTTGCCTGGGATACTCTTGGGAGAAGGTAGACATGGAGAAAACAATACTTAATTGGAGTTGGGCAGCTACAGGAGAGGACTTACTCCTTGTCTCCAGTTGCAGGGTCAGATACTCCAGTCAGGGCTGCTATGAAGACATTTTGGGAGGTTTGAAGACATTTTCACATCTGAAACCAGGCAAATATGCAAGGAAAGCACCATTCATCAAATGCAGAGTATTCCAAGGAGAGGCAGGACTAAGTCACACATGGGATGGGAAATTTTGAAGGGAAGAGGGGAGGAAAATCATAATAACTCTTCTTTTTGAACAGGGACATAATCTGGCTGTCAGTGCAGGACCTGCAGAGCCAGGGCCAGCACCTTGGTCCCCACACACCTTTGCTGTGGATTTTCCTGAGTAAAACAGGCTGGAAATGGTGAAAAGGGAGCTTTCCAATCCTGGGTGTGACTGCCTTGAGATGCTGGTGCCTGATATTTTAAAGAGCAGGATTCTCAGCACAGTGGTGTCTCTGATCCTGTTTCATCAGCAGCCTGGAGATGATAAAGACAATTTCTGTCATCTCCTGCAGAAGGGGATGTCGTGGGTGCTGCCAGTGCTGCCTAGAACAGACCTCACAATGCCCAGAGGAGCTCAGAGCTGCTCTCCTGCTGATCCTAAAGATGTCCTCAGCCCTTTCCTGTGCTGGGGATGGGGCTTGCTGCAGCGAGCTGCATTTTGGGCTGTCTGAAGCTCCATTGCTAGGCAACAGAGGGGCTGGAGCTGCTGCTGCTCCACCTTGCAGGTGCAGCCTACAGGCCAGGGGAGGGCTGGAGTTACACGTGGGCAGGGCTTTGGCATGCCAGACATGGCTGGGGTGTGGGATCTTGTTGTTGTTTTGGTTTTTTATTGGTGGCAGTCATCACAAAGCTGAAGTGGATTCTGCTGGGAGATGTGGAAGTGCCTGGATTGTAAGATCTGCTGGGACTGGTTCCCTCTGTAGCTCTGCCTGCTGAACACTTTTGCTATTTGGATGTTTTTGAACACTGTTGATCTCCTACCAGGCAATTTTAGCACGTGGAGAATCCTGATTCCACCTCTCAAGCTCTCTGTGCCTCAGTTCCTTTGCAGGCTGGCAGCAGAGTTGGAATTTTGAACTCATGCCTCCTGTAAGGCTCTTGTACCTCCCCACACCCTGCATGTGCAGAGCACAGGCTGTCCACTGTGGATATCCCAGCCAGTTTTTCCTGGAAAACAAACCCCTGGAACTGGAAAGCACCAAGGACAAGGGGGGAGCAGGAACCTCTTGTGGGTGATGGAATGATTTGCTCAGGGCTGACTTGTCCTGCCTGGGAGGGGATGGATCTCTCCAGCAGCTGGAAGTGCCTGTGACAACAAAAACTGACTCCCACTCCACCTCATGGGGGTTTTCTGAGCCCAGGGAGCTTTGTCATGTTGCACACACAGTGTGTTTACTACAGGGAGCTTTTCAGGAGAAAGGAATGTGGATTTTCCCCACAGCTTGGGTGGCTGTGCAGCCAGCTGCTCTCTCTGTGTTTGCTCTCCTGCCTCTCAGGCAGTGCTGTGCTCCTCACACTTCCCCTGGGTGGGGTTGTGCAGTGCCTGGAGCACACTGCCCTCTCTTCTCCCTAAAAACTGAACACCATTCCCAGGAATTGGGTACCAGGCCCTGCAGCAACCACAAAACCTGCCAGGTACAGGTGTGCAGCAGGAGAGGGCTGGACCCAGTTGGTTTTAATCCCCTGTGACAATTCATTTCTCTTCTCTGGGTGCTAAAATTCCTGAATCCTGTGATGTCCATAGAGCTCATCTTCCTGAGGGCTGGACCCTGGGCTGCACTGCAGGAGTGCAATGCTGGGATGCACTGCTGGCATCCTGGGAGCAGAGTTCCTCATCCCTGCTGGCATCCTGGGAGCAGAGTTCCTCATGCCAGGAGGAAGGGAATGACAGGAAGGATGGCTGGGTAATGTCATTATTAACACAGCTCCCGTGTGGTGTGGCACAGAGCTGCCTTGGGATGCTGCTGTTGCCATGAGCACTGGAATCCAGGGCTTGCAGGGAGAGCAGCAGGGAAATCACACTGAAAATCAGGCATTTCATGGCTTCTGCTGAGCTTTCACCTTGTGCTTGCTGCTGCCTTTTGGAGGGATGGGAGTGGAGTTTCTGCTTCTGTTTAGGGGGGTGAACCTGTTGCTCAGGGCTGTGTGGGACACATGGCACAGCTGCCAGCTGCAGGGGGACAGAGCTGTCACCTCTGCCCCTCCTGTGCTGGCTCAGGGGGGTGACAGGGACCCACAGCCTGGGCTGGTCACAGGGGTGGGCCACATGAGGTCACTGCAGGTCAGAGCTGCTCAACACCCAGGGCAGAATCCCAGAGGGCCTTGTGCAAGCCCTGGAAAGTTGTCATGTCCCACTCTGGGGAGTGGGAATTGCTCCTTTTACAGGAGTTAAATCAGCCCTGAGAGCACCTGGTCCTGTCTGGGGCAGAGCAAAAGGCAGGACCTCAGCTCTTGTGTTTCCCAGTGCTGCCCACCCTTCCTTTGTTTACAAACCATTTGGTTTTACTCCCCTGTGACAATTTCTTCTGCTCTGGGTGCCAAAATTCCTGCATCCCATAGTCTCCATACAGCCACAAACCCCCAGCAATCCGTGCTGCAGCCTGGAGAGCCCTTCCTGCTGCCACAGGCAGGAATTCTGGCACATCCCAGGGAGTATCCCTGCTTTGAAGGCCTGGTGCTCCTTGCCCAGTGCCAGTGTTTGCATTTCCAGTTGGATCCCTCTGTGTAGCTGTTTCCTGAGCTTCTCTGTGTTTCTCTTCCCTGCAGAGGATCAAGAAAGATGTGGACAAAGGCACCCTGCACACGGATATGTTCCTGCTGAAGGCTGAAGGGGCAGGCAAGGAGGAAGGTGAGCACTGCCCTGGGAATGCAAATCCTCTCCCTTCCTTGGAATAACACACCAAAAAACCTGGAACCAAAATCCCTTCTCAGTGATAATCTCTGTGCCCCAGTGTTGGCTCAGGAAGAAATGGAGGAAAAGAGATTTTGGTGATTTTTTTTTATCAGTTTGTATGTGGGAGGGAATTAAAACAACATTTCCAAATTCCTGTTTCTGGGACATTTTGATCAGTGCTTTCCTTTTCACAACAGAAAACCTTTGGGATTGCAGAATTCTCCTGTGGTGGGGTATTCCTGGGTGGATGCCAGGGACCTGTTAAAGCTGCTCCATCCCTCCCTCCCCAGCTGGAGAAGGGAGAGAAAATCCAGTGGGAGACTCATGGATTGAGATCAGGACAGGGAGAACCACTCAGCTCTTTCCCTGCTCCAGGCTGGGCCCATTCCATGGGGTACAATCCTTCTGGGACAGATTGAACCATGGTGGCTCTGTGGTTATCTTGGATTGGAATAGGAATTCCATCACTTCCCTTAGGAGATTTTCTCCTTGACTCAGGCAGTGGGACAATTTTCTTGGAGCTGAATTTCTAAAATGTTAAAATTGTGATTGATTTCTCCAAACCTGACTGTCTGGGATGGGATTTGGGGAGCAGGGTTGGTCACCAGCACTGTCTGGGCTCCAGGCCCTGTTTGCATTATTCCTATTTATAGTTTTATCTTGCTGGGATTGCAGTTCCTTTGGAAGCACAGGGCCTGGCAGTGCTTCTCCCAGCCTGCATTTCAGGGATTTGCTCTGAAGTCAGAGCAGAAGGGATTGGAGGAAAGCAGAGGGATAGAGCACAAGTCTTGTCCTGCTGCTGAGCCCTCTTTTAAAGCCTGGATGGGGCTTTTTGGGATGATCTGTGTTTATTTTTGGGGGTAAGGCAGTGGTGCAGGGTGGCAGAAGAGGTGGAGAGAACTGATGGAAAGTGGGATAACTGAGGGACATTTTTTGGTGCTTGAAGGCTGCATCTGATCAGGCCTTGTCTGAACTCCACACTCCAGTAAAGGTGCAGACAGTTTCTAGAGTCTCCTTGCTCCAGAAAGCTCTGGAAATACCCTGAAGATGCCATGAGAATATCCAAAGCAGGGCATGGAATTGATGCCTCAGGTTTTATATTTTATATTTTTCACATTCTGTGCTGCTTTAGTGTGTGGGTCTGGATTCACATCAGGGGATGGTGAGCTCTGTGCACAGAGCAGGGAGACAAAACAATTCCTGCTCCAGCTGGGCACCAAGGACAAATGATCCAAATCTCAGCCCCTTTGAATAAATCCCTGCTTTATTCTTTAGCTCTGCCCAGCCTCTGTTCTAGCTGAGCCTTCTCAAGGCATCAGAATTCTTTGCTGGAATTCTGAGAGCCTTGGAATACACAAAGCAGGCAGGGTTCTGCTCTGCTGCTGCTCACATTTGTTCTCTCCATGCAGACAGGTGGAGCTGGAGCAGGCTCAGCCCCTCTGGAGTGAAGCCCAGCCCCAGGTCTGGCTTTGCTGTGGCTGCTGCCCCCAACAACCGCTGCCTCCTTTTTGGGGGGGTGCACGACGAGGAGGAGGAGGAGAGCCTTGAGGGGGACTTCTTCAATGACATTTATTTCTATGACATCGGGAAGAACCGCTGGTTCCCTGCACAGCTCAAGGTCTGGGGTTGAATAATTCATTCATTTCATCACCTGGCACATCATTTATGGCTGGTTTGGCCTCTTTGAGATTTCACAGATTGTTTGGGTGGGAAGGGACCCTGAAGATTCTCTCATTCCACCCCTGCCATGGGCAAGGACACCTTCCATGAGCCCAGGTTGCTCCAAGCTGGTCTTGGACATTTCCAGGGATGGAGCAAGGATTTTTCTCTCTTTGAAGGAATCCTGTATTTTTGGTAGCTCAGGGTGCACCTGAGCAATCCCTCTCCTCCAGGAATCAGGCTGCCCCATTATTGTGGAATGCAAAATGAAGCAAAGCAGCTTGAAAACATATTTCTGGTGTTTTGCTGAAAATCCTATCCAGGCCAGATGAGTCTGACATGAGGGAAGTTCACTCAAAGCTGCTGTGAAAAGATTTTGGGATCAAGCCCCTCCCTTTTCTCCCCAGTGCTGATGAGCTACCAGAAGAGATGAAATATTAACCTTGAAATATTAACCAAGAGCTTCAGAGCTCAGCTCAGCTCTTTGATTGTGTTTGAACCACTCTCACAGGCCAAGGGAGGTGCAGACCTGGTTCAGCTTCTTCCCCCTGCCCCTTCCTGGCTTTGTTCTCCAAATGGAGAAGTCAATCCCATAATAACAGGCAAACAGCCACTCAGCTGGTTGCTTCAGCCTTCCCAAACTGATTGTTTCCCAGCCCTTTCAGAGAGTTCTTCCAAGACCTGGAGTGCTGCCTGGTAATGGGCTGTAATTTAGCACCCAGCAATTGTTGTGATTTCAGGAAATCGTGGGTTACTTTCCCTTGTCACTGAACAGTGGCCTCTGTGTGTTTGTGGCACCTGGGAGCAGGAGAGCTGCTCCTCTCTTAACAGGGAGCAATTCCACACCCTGGATTCTCCAGGATCTTCACTGTTCCTTGTTGTAGGCTGGGAGAAGCTCATGCTGTAGGAGGAACTGCACTGCTCGCTCGAGACTTTAAATTGTGATGAAAAATAGGAATTGTCCCTTCCCTCCGTGCTGTCTGTATGAATATGTTAGGTGCATGCAATGCCCACAAAATCCTCAATTCCTGTTCTCAGGGCCCAAAATCAGAGAGGAGGAAGCGCAGGCGTGGCAGACAGGCTGAGGCAGAGGCTGCTGGAGGGGAGGAGCTGCAGCTGCCACCTCCCCAGGGCCCCCTGGAGATCGTCAAGGAGGTGGTGGCGGAAGATGGCACCGTCATGACCATCAAGCAGCTGATCCCTGGAGCTGCAGAAGACAAGGACAGGTCTGGCTCAGAGGAGGAGGAGGAGGAGGAGGAAGGTGGAGCCCTGGGCCAGCCCGTGGAGCCGTGCCCACGCTCCAGTGCCATGGTGGCAGTGAAGCACGGGGTCCTCTACGTGTACGGGGGCATGTTCGAGGTGGGTGACCGCCAGGTGACCCTCAGTGACCTGCACAGCATCGATCTGCACAGGATGGACCAGTGGAAGGTGCTGCTGGAGATGGATCCAAGTAAGCTCTGCTGCTGGGAGCTCTGCCTGTGCCTTCAGGGCAGCAGCACTGGGGGAAAAACACAACTGTGGGGCTTCCTCAGGGGTGGTGGAGAGCCTTTGAGTGGAGGTTCTCTCTGGGTAAGAAAAATTGTCTTACCTGTGTGGCCCAGAGCTTTGGGGTCACTGCAGAGTCAGCTCTGCCCTGTGACTTTGAAATCCAAGAGCTGTAAAGCGAGTTGTGGTGGCATGAGGCGTCCTGGGAGTGCTGCTGTGCCAGCCTTGTCCCCTTCTCCAGGGAACTGGGATGCTCCTGCCTGTCCCCAGTGTCTCAGGGCAGTGAAGGGCTTGGGTCCTGCAGAGGATGTGGGCATTACCTGGGGTTACCTCTTTGTACCTGAATTCTCTCTTTGTGCCTCTCTTCTCTTTCCTTTCTCATCAAAGAAACCCAGGAATGGCTGGAGGAGTCAGAGTCAGATGGAGAGGAGGATGATGATGTGGAAGGTGCAGAGGGAGGGGAGGAAGAAGAAGAGGAGAGCTCTGAAGAGGAGAGTGAAGATGAGGAAGGTAATTACTAATAAATGCTGTCTCCATACTAATCTAATGTGGGGTTAGTGCAGTGCCTGGTTCTGCTGTGGGCCTGGAAGGTCTCCCTGGCATCCAGGTGAGTTTCCAGCAGAAGCACCTTTCCTAACACATTGCTCTTGGAATAAAAGATTAATTTCCCTGCTTGCTGGTAGATTTTCAGGCTGTTACATTCAGCCTCACGTGGCCCTGGTGAGCTGTGTGTGACCTGTGTGTCCCTGTCTTTGCCCAGGGGAGCAGCAGCACCCAGCAGTGCAGCCTGGGGAGGCCCAGGCCCAGTACCTGGCCAGGACAGAGCAGTACTGGCTGGGGCTGGCCCGCAGCCACATGGGCCCCGAGGCCAAGGACAAGAAGGTGCTCAAGGTGGCTCATGCCATGGCCAAGACTTTCTATGAAGATCCCGTGCAGATGTCCTGAGGCTGCTCCAGGAGTGAAGGAAGGTGCTGGGAGCAGTGGCCAGCCCTGCTGAGCTCAGCCCCAAGTCCGTGCTGGCTGCAGCCTTTCCCAGCTCTGGGCTGACCGTCCTGGATGGATGTTCTGGATCTGCTGGTACTCCTGGGAGTGCTGTGGGAGGCTCCTGAGGAACAGGATTGCTGTCCAAGCACTTGTTCTGCTTGTTCTGGGCTGTACAACACTGACTTCGTTGTTGCAAAGTTGTTTGGGGTCTGTCTGGACAACTGTGCACATGACAATGGTTCACTGGTCCCAGATTCCTGACTGGGGCCAGGACGTGTCTCCAGGTTTTCCTACAATAAACTGACTTGGTTATATCACCTTGTTTTGCTCAGTAAATCCCATCCCAGCTTTTGTTCTTGTTTTCCTCCTGGTGTGGAAGAGGGATTGCAGTTCCTGCTGTGACATCTGCAGGCAGTGTAAAGTGCACCAGCAGCTCTGAGATGCCTGGAAAAACCTGGGAATCCCTTCCTGCCTTACCTGTGAGATGCACTCACAGAAACCTCTTCCACGTTCACTGTAGTTTTGCCTTTGTGGAAAGTCCCAGTTCAGTTCTTCCCCCTGTTGGCCCAGTTGTCCTGCAGGTGACCTCTTGATGACCAGTGAAATGTCCTCCTGCAGACCTCACTGAGGCCAGGAAGGAGTGAGCTGCTCCAAGGCTTTGTTTTCCAGCCCCTCTCCTCAAGGCATCCCTTCCTTCCCAGCAGAGCAGTGCTGTGTCCTTGGGGACAACAGATGGCATCCAAGTGTGTGCTGCAGGAGCCAAGTGGTGCCTGGAGGTGCCACCAGGACTGGCTGTCCTTGTGCAGGGAATTCCAGGTGCCCTGGGTATTGCTGTGGCAGGGCCATCCCCGGGGATGCAGCTCTCCAGAGAGCAGGGCTGGGATCTGCCGGGCTAATTAGAAGGAAGATTAAATAGAGCTGACAGGGAGCTTTAATTGGTGAGATAAAAACATGGCTGGCAGGGAGGGACCTTCCCCACGAAATAACAGAGGTGAGAGGTGAAAACAAACCATTTACTGATAACCTGGGAGAGGAGAAAACAAAGCATTTATTGATGATCTGGGAAAAGTGAAAACAAAGCATTTATTGATGATCTGGGAAAAGTGAAAACAAAGCATTTATTGATGATCTGGGAAAGGTGAAAAAGCATTTCTCGGTAATCCAGGAAGGAATCCCTCACTTGCTCAGTCACTCACCTTGTTCTTTCACTTGGGTAAGTTCACATCTTTTTGTGCAAAGTTTGGGGGGATTTGCTACTCCCTGTGAGGTTGGACAGGCCCTGGCACAGGTGCCCAGAGAAGCTGTCACTCCCTGTGAGGGTGGACAGGCCCTGGCACAGGTGCCCAGAGAAGCTGTGGCTGTCCCTGGATCCCTGGAAGTGCCCCAGGTCAGGTTGGATGGGGCTTGGAGCAGCCTGGGACAGTGGAAGGTGTCCATGGCAGGGGTGGGACAGGATGAGCTTTAAGATCCCTTCCAACCCAACCCATTCCATGATCTGGTGATCCCACAGCTGCTGCAGTCATTCAGGAGCTGTGCAAGGAGCTGAGCTGTTCCCTAAAGCTGGAAAAGCTGTCACTGTCAGGATTCTGTTCTCTGCAAACCCCTCACCCCCAGCTCAGGAGATCCCATCCCATCCCCGCTCCATCCTGCCTCAGCACAGCCCTCTGGAGCCACCCTGTCTGTGTGACAGCTTCCAAAAATCCCTGCTTTCCATCCAAAGCTGCCTGTGTAATTAGCCCTTAGGTCTCAATTAAGCCCTTGCCTGGGTCCCACCCTGTTTCTCCTGTCGCTCCTCCCCTTCCGATGCAGTCTGGCTGTTTTCCTGGCAGGGATGCTGCCACAGCTCGGATCTCTGGAGCTGAGGCTCTGGGGAGTGCTGGAATCTGGGTCTTGGGTACAAGCACCCAGACACCAGATGGGCTGGGAGCAGCTGACGTGGCGCAGGGGCTTTGTCTTCCTTCCTTCTTGCTTTTCCCAAGGATGCAGTGCTGGAGCAGCCCCTCTCACACAGGTGGGATCCAAATCTCCCTTCCCAAATTCCCCCTTCCCAATGGCTCTGCTGTGCCAGCCCCCTCTGTGCTGGCAGAACATAAAAATTCCAATGCAGCCTTAAAAAATGATCCAAACCTTCAACTGACCAAGTGCAGCTGCCAGCCTGGACATAAAGCAGCAGGGCTGGATAATTTCCCTGGATTTATGGCCCACCTTGATGGGCATTTTTATGGGCCTTAGGTAGATCTGCAGGAGCCAGGCTCATAAGACAGGGAAATACACTGAATTACCTCTCTCTCTGGGCTACTTCTCAGGAATATTTCTGGCCTTGGGCAAATGTGAAAAGCCCAGGACTGAGACAAATTGCTCAACTCCCTGGGATTAAGAAAGGAATCATTATTTTGGACCGTGTGGGTTGGGAGCCAATTAATATTAGTCTGTGGCTTCTTTCCTACTGAGTAAACCTTAGCTTGACAGAGTGGAACAGAGAGCTGAAAAATCCTGTGCTGCTCCAGGGGCAAGAGCAGGAATAACTGGGCAGGCAGCAGGGGGGAAAATCCAGTCAAGAAACCACCAGTGCTTTTATTTGATGGATAGCAAGAGGCATTTTGGTGCTGTTTTACAGATATCCAAATATCTGTGTCTGCAGGGCTCTGTTCAACCTGCTCCTGACAGGACCTTTGTGCCCTGCACTCAAATGCACGAAAAAAAAAGTCCTTGAGAGTCTTTCCAAAGAGTAGAAGCAGAATTCCAAATCCCAGGGGTGAATTCCCAAGGCTGCAATCCCAATAAATGGGGTTTTTTGGTTCATTTCATTGGTTTGTTTCATTTCAAGTGTGCAGCAAGCCTTGAAGAGGGGAAAAAAAAATTATGACTAAGGACCCAAAAGGAAAATCCAAAACAACACAAAAAAAGGAAGAGGTGGGAAGATGATGGACAGTTACTGTGGAAAATGGAATTTCAAAATTATCCTTTCCCCTGTCCACCCATAGCCCTGTGCCTGGAAAGGAAAAGGAAGGAGAAGAGGAAGCAAAACTGCGACAGGAGGGAATCAGACCATGTAAGGAAAAGAACTGAATTTAACTGGCACATGCTCTAATCCTTAGTTTATTTCTGGTTAAAAATATAGCAATCCAGTGCAGTGTAATAAGAAATCTGCTGAAAAGGTAGCAGAGAAACAGCTAAAACAGAAGCAAAGCAAAGCTGAGTCCACGAGTCCGGGCTGGATCCAACAACTCTGGACGTGAATGTCGGGGAGGGCTTTTCCCTCCTTCCCCACCCCCAAAATCTCCTGGGAGGGTCTCACCCCCCTCGGGAGCTGCCACCCTCCTGCACCCTTCTCCTGCTGCAGCTGCAGGGGGGGATGAGGGTGGGATTTGGTCCCCAAATCCCAAAGGAGCCGTGGGAGCTGCTGGTGGGGGAGCACCGAGGGCAGGGCTGGGAGCTCTGGGAACGCTGCTGCCCAGGGCTGGGGCTGGGAGCACGCTGTGATCGGCACCAGGACAGCTCAGAACAGGGATACGCATCTTTAATGAGTATGCAGGTTATCCGTGGGGACAGGGAGGGGACAAAAATCAAGGCAGGCATAGTACAAAGATGGTAGAAACGAACAAATTAAGTGACATAGAAAAAAAAAAAAGAAAGAAAATACATCCTTAGAGGCTGCCATTGCCAATGATGTTTGGTTTGATTTTCTTTTTTTTTTCTTTTTTTTTTTCTTCTTTTTTTTTCTTTTTTTTTTTTTTTAATACAGGGACATGTTGGAAGCTGGAATATACATCCTGCATTACAAAGTGCAAAATACTACATGCTCAGAGCCCAAGCATGATGTCTGAAACAGTCCACAGCAAGATGTAAGAGACAAACCCACCACCCTCTCCCTCCTCTCTGGGACATGCTCCAGGTGCTCCTCCCCAGGTGCCTTTGAGAAACAGTTGGATTTTTGCTTGGTTTTGTTTTATTGTCATCCTCAGTGGATTGGAATTGAGCCCTCTGTCCCCTGTCCCTCCCCACCCTGCTCCCTGTGCACATTTTTTGGGATGGGCTGGATGCTCCTCACCAGCACAGCACCATCAGCCACTCCATCCGTGCTGCTGGAGGTGCCTCCAGGGTTTTTTTGGGGAATTTTTTAGCCAGGAGAAATTGGCTGTGAATTAAAAGTAGCTCTGGGTGGTTTTCCTGCCTTGCCATGGGTGAGGAGCAGCCTGGGGAGGAGGAGTGAAGGCAGGAGGGTGCTGGGGCTGCTGCTCACACCTCGTGTTCCCTATTCCCCCCCTGCCCCGAGGAATTCTGCAAAAAGCCAATTTTTGTTTTAAAAACAAGGATCAGAACGGGGCCTGTTCTGCCATTTTCCCATCCAGACAGGGTTCATCCCTTCCCTGTGCTCCTTCTCTCCTCCTTCTCACAGCAGCATTCCTCCATTTCCAAGAGGTGAAAAGCCATATTTTGCTTTTCTCTCCCATTTATCATTAAAGCTGTTGTGCATTTCCCTGGGAAACTCAGCCTGGAGCATCCCAGAACCCGTCCCCACTCCACCCAAACTCTCCCCATGGTCCCCTCGTCTCATCTCCATTTTGGGGTTCATTGCTGTTGTTACAAAGACAATTATTTCCTTTTGTTGGGGGGGTGAAGGGAAGGGAAACGAGGTTTTTTCTTTTGTTGGGATTCCTTCTCATCCTTCCCAGTGTTGGGGGGGCAGAGTGTTGATAGCATTTTGCCATGCCACACAGCATAGTGTTATACAAGCAAAGAATTTTGGCTAAAATCCAAAAAACATTACCCAGGAAAAAAGGCAAACTGTGAGTGAGACTCGATCATTTGTTGTTCTTCTGTGAAAAGACTTTGAAATTGTCAGAGGACAGTTCGAGTTATGATTTTTCCCTTTCTTTGTTTTTTTTTTGTTTTGTTGTTGTTGTTTGGTTCTGATTTTTTTGTTTTGTTTTTGTTTTTTTTTCCCCCATTCATACATGTAACTGTTATTTTTGCAAACAAGACAGTCTTGAATTAGATGAAAAAGTTAATAAACAAAATGGCGACTCCAATATTTAGTAAGATCACCATGACTACCAGGATGGGAGCTGAACCCTGCAAGAGAAAGAGAAGGACAGGAGTTAGATGGATCCTTGGAATTCTGCAGGAGAATCTGGGGGGAAACCAGGACAATTTGCTCTGGGGAGTCCAGGCAGCTCTGGGGATGAACAGATCCCAACTGACACCTCCCCAAGTGCCCAGGAACCCTTGGAGGATTTTTGAAGCTGCCAAACAAACACTTGGCTGTACCCCCTGATGGATCATGGATCATCCCATGCCACTCCCGTAGGAATTCTGGCCTTAAAAAACAGAACTAAAATTGGTTGTTTATTGGGTGGTGAATGAAAAGGAAAAAAAAACAAAAACAAAAAAGCAGGTTATATGGGATCTTAGAGTGGTTTGGGGATGGCTTGAAGTGTCCAGGACATTTCCCAATAAACACAGTTGTTTTCCAGGTGTCCTGGACATCAGGCCAGCACATGGGCGTCCATGTTCAGGCAACATTTTGGGAATGCTCTAATAACCTTTCCTGAGTTTATATGGACCAAATGAAGCTCCTGGGAACCACCTGGCAGTGCCAAGGCCAGGCTGGACAGGGCTTGGAGCACCCTGGAATGGTGGAAGATGTTCCTGCCATGGCAGGGGTGGCATGGGATGGGCTTTAAGGTCCCTTCCCCACCAAACCATGCCAGGATTCAGTGATTTCACTTGAAAAGCATTGCAGGAACACAATGTGCACACCCCGACCCCAGCTGGGCTGGACATCCCAGGAAAGGTTCAATCCCTTGGGGAGGATCCATTGCTCCCCCTGGAGCACATGCTGGACAATCCCGTGGGACCCCACCAACATCCCAGGAACATCAGGGCACCGCAGCCAACCCTGCAGGACACTGGTCAGGAAAACATCCCTGGCACCTCATCCAGCCTGGCACCTCATCCAGCCTGGCACCTCATCCCTGGTGCCACGGTGTGAGCGTGGCTCGCACAGGGCGGGTGCTGCTGGCAGCAGGTGGGTGGTTGCTTTTTCTTGGAGCCGCTGGGATCCTCAGCTATTCCTGCTGCATCCCAGCCCTGGCATGCTCCAAACGCCTTTCCCCAGGCTCCTGCCCCCTCCTGGCGCTCCCCACGTCGCTGGGATGGAGAGGGGACAGGGCTGGGCACTCCTTGGGAGCTTTCTCTGGGTGGCTCTGCGGAGCTGCTGGAAAAGGAACGGGAAGAAGCAGCTCCCGGCTGCCCGGGGATGGTTTCTGTTCCGAGCAGCCTGATTCAGCTGGCGTTTGGGAGTGGGTGGGAGCGAGGATGCTGGAGCCTGCTGGAAAGGCATATTTGTAGCTTAGCAACAGGGTCAAAGGCAGCCAAGCCAAGGCAGGGATTGCGGAGAGCAGCCAGGTACCCATCCAGGGCTGGCTGCTCCCGGCAAACCTCTCCTCCTGTGCCACGAAAAGCTTCCAAAGGCAGCAACCACCCCCTGCTCGCTGCTCCTTCCCTTCCCCAGCCCGGCCGTGCCAAGCCCGGCCTTGCTGGCGCTGGGAGGGATTAGCTGCATTTCAGAAGATTATTGGGTTTTAGGGTTTTTGAGCTGCTGGTAATATAATAACAGATTGCAGGCGATTATCAGTGTCATTGTTTGCCTTGGCACGGCCCCGCCGAGGCACAGAACGAGCTCCTGCCCCGGCCCTGCAGCCAGGGAGGGCTCAGCCCCATCCCTGGGCTGCTCCATGGAGGAATTCCCTGCCAAAACAGCACAGCCAGCGCTGCCCCTGCTCCGATTCCCTGTTCCCTCACTTTGGGATGCAGCCGAGGTCCAGCCCTTGGGGAGGGAGCTCAGCCTTCACTTCTCCCAAGAAACAGCAGCAGGACAAGAGGAATCAGCCTCGAGTTGTACCAGGGAGGTTCGGATTGGATATTTGGGAGTAATTCTTCACCCAGGGCAGTGGCGGAGTCTCCATCTCTGGAGCTGTGTGGATGTGGCACTTGGGGACATGGAGCAGTGCTGGGGGAATGGTGGGACTCAATTCCAGAGCATTTTCCTGGTAAATGATCCCGTTGTTCTGTGATTTACACACAGGCCATCAAAGCTGTGCCCTCAGCTGGAAAACTGCGGGGATCCAACACCTGCTCACAGCAGCACCCCTGGATCCCCGTGCACAGAGGCTCTGCTCAGGCTGGGATCCTCATCCCAGCATCCCTCAGGGCAGGGGCAGGAGAAAATCCTTCCTTTGCCACTGCAGGCACGGGATCTGCCACATTTCCCATCCCAGGAACAGGATGACCAGGCTGGGGTGGGAGCTCTTTGAACTAATCAACTCAAATCCAGCTGACAAATTCTGCCTCCTTTTTACAGCTCCCTGTTTTTAACCCCCTCTTCCCTGTGCTGCTGTCCAGGTGGGAATGGCAGGGAATGGCAGCTGCTGCTGGATGAGCAGTTTTGCCCCTCCAAAGCTTCTGTTTCAGCTCCAATTACGGATCCTGCTGCACTTCTCAATGCTTCTGTCTGCCTGATTTCTGGCTCATGAGGTCTCACTGCCTTCCCCTCTGTGCAGGGGGAAGGTTTGCCCTTCTCCCCTCCCGTGGCAGGGATGGCCTGGGAGATGAGACAGCGCTGAGCATCATTCCTGCTCCGTGCCAGGGCAGGAGATGGATCAGTGCTGGAGCTGAGCTTTGGAGGAGAGGCTTTGCTGAGCCCAGCCTGGCTGCAGGGCACTGAGCTCCCTTTTGCTGCAGCAAAGAACCAGTGCTTTAAAACCAGTGGCTTTTAAACCCTTCCCACTGTGTTCCAACCTCCAACAGGAGCCTTTAAAAAGAGGAGACGCAGCCCCTGATTTGCAGCTTTGCCTGTTGCTGTCACAGTTTGGTGGGGCCAAATTTCAATTTTTTTTACAATAATATCCCTGGAGTCCTTCACAGGAGGAGGAAAACATCTGCCAAGGATGAGAATCTACACCAATATCAGCTGGGCAAAAGGATCCTTCTCTATCAACAGGTTGGATCTTCAAGGATTTTTAAGCTTTGTTTCCAAGCTTAAAGAACAGAAACTTAGACCTTAACCCATGGAAACACTAAAACAGGAATAAGCCATGGTTATGGCCCAGGAGTAATAACAGTAATTGTAGCTGTAGAGTAATTCCTGCCCCTCTGCCTTGTTTGTTTTTATCCTGGAACTGTTGTGTAGCAACTCCGGAGTTTTTCTGGGAATACGATGGACAGCTGGTTTACAAATGCAATTGTGGCATAATTAATTTAAGCATTAGCAATCCATTATTATCTGTTATCACAGGGTACAAGCTCTGCCTCTCTGCCATGGAAACCAGAGTGCAGGTTACCTAGGAATCCCTCCGGGATCTATTAAGTGTAATTACTAAGGACTTGGATCAGCAAAAAAAAAAAGAGAAAAAAAATAGATATGCACCATTTTCCAGCCTCAGCACTGCAGAAAGGGCTGCAAACTTAGCAGCTTGGTGACATTTGTGCTGAATTGTCACATCCTTGCCAGGAACAGGCTCTGTGAAATGGTTAAGGAGCATTTAGCAAAGGAAACATCAGGGAGCCACTTGGCTTTCTCCAGCGGATTGCAGCAGCTCCCGTGGCTCCAGGAAGGGGCCCAGGAGATGCTAAAAGTGCTTGTGTGAGTGAAAGTGAGTTGGGTGGGATGGAAAAAACTGCTTCTAGGGGGAAAAAGGCTAAAAAATGAGAGGTTGTCCTCTTAGAGATCCTTTAGCCTCTTAACGAACTGATTTGTCACCCCAGGTTCAGTCCTCACCTTCCAGCTGCTGGGATTGAACTCAGTGTTTGTTCAGGTATGTTTGAAGCTCTCATTTTAAGATTTTTATTCTAAAAACAGCAGTCAAAATTTGGTTCT